GCTGATGCTCCCGGCTTAGCCGATGTAGCAGACATGGACGCAGATCCTTCACGCGCGATGGGCAGTGACGATTTGTGGAGTAGACGTAGTCATCGCAACAGTGCCACGGCAATTGGTGTCGGGGAACATGCGACCTACCTGGCAAGACACTGTTCGGACTGCGCCCGATCGTCCGGGGGATGGGTATACTTCGGTGACCTCATCGCTAAAGTGGAGGCCGATGGCATAGCGCATGATGCGACTGTCCTCGCGGTGCACGGTTTAACCGCTTTGCCGCCTGGAGAATTTCTTAGTGCACCTGTACCTCGCGACTCAGTCGTTGATGAGGATGACGGGAGCGAGATAATTTCCGTTGAAAGGGAAAAGCGTGGGCGCAGGCCACTTCCAGTTTTTTATCGTGCGTGCCAGGGGCATTCATGTTGTGTTCACAATATAGAGCGCATGTACGCCCCGTACGAATTTGGCATGGCGAAATGCCATGGATCGCTCTGACATGTGACAATCATCGATGCCATCAAGGGTTCGATGGCAGGAAAAGGACTTCTTCAATTACCTAATGAAACTGACGGACTGTGTAAAGAACATGACTACGGACTTCTTCGTTTGATTCCGACAAGGCGTGATTTCCCGGAAGAGCAGATTGAGCGCATCCCTCCCTGGCTCCGCCAGCGGAGGGATGGGGGGGCCCCGCTGGGTAAAAGTTGATTGAGTCCAGGCTCCGCCCCGAAGGAACAGGGACCTCCAATCTCAGGGGCGTGGCCGTCTAACGTCGCGCCGATGCTCTGGGAACTTGCCAGTGTTCACAGTGCTACTTGGCAATGCGTCATTGTTTTCAATGGGCGTGTAACGGGGCGCGTCAGATACCGAAGTTGTCGTGATGGTGCGCTTGTGGCAACGGGAAGAGCGCGATTTAACGACGTGGCCCGACTTGTGATATTAAATGCTACCCAGAGCCCAGCACTTCAGGTGGTTTGGACATTAGTTTTCTCCCGAGAATGGACCGCGTACGAGGTTGCGTTCACGTCTGATTCAATCGGGGGGTGGACGTTTACCGATGACGGGATACGACCCGTCGCCAACGGCTGTCAGTTAAACGCAGAAGAGGTCTGGCTCATAAGGACAAGGCCGTGGACCGACGACGGGAGATTCATTTGCAAGAACTACCATTATGTGCGAGCCGAGCTTGGTAATTGTCTCTGTTGTCAGACGAAGGTTCTGTATCAATGCCATGTTCAGATGAATTATCTGTCAGGATCTGGCAAACGAGCTCTAGATGATGCATGGGCAAGCTTGGGGCTGAGCATCTATATCGCATGTAATTGCAGACAGAGTGAGGAAAATGATAAGGAGCTCCGTTGACGCGTTGGATTATTTGAATAAAACTCAACACCATCAGCGCAACTGGGCTGTAAACAGAGAGGGAGCTCGTCTTATATTCGCTAAGGGAGGTCAGACCTTTTCCAATCAACAGCCAGGAACCGTCCCAACCTGGGTCCCTGATAGCGCAGCCGGTCAGCGTCAGCGCGTCATGCGCCCTTCGTTCAGTTCCTCGAGCCGTTGAAGCTTTGCTTCGTGAGCTGGCTTGCACACGAGGCAAAATCGGGATGCAAGCGGCGACATGGTGGCCATTAGTATGGTCCTCCGACGTTGATCAGTATGCTCGTCCATTTCGATGCCCCGATCTTGCTGTTTTCGACTGGACCCACGTGAATACGCAGCAACTAGAATCGCCTGAAGGATGGGATCACTGGGCGAAGAGTCGGCGAGAAATAGGCGCATCTGTTCCAACGGTAGATACGCTCACTGAACGGCCGAATTGTGTCAATGCGCCCATTCCGATTACCGTTGGAGACATTAATTATCAAGTAATTGCATCGCTATGTACCCGGCCCAGCCGGCAGGTAGGTGTGATTTTGGCTCGTGATAGGCTTGCAGAAACATTGAGAGGCATTCTGCCCGAAGGCATTGTGCCAGCGCGTCTCAAACGGGAGACCCCTGGATTGCCGCTGCCCTCTTGGCCTGATCTAGTTCCCCTTGGGGGGCGTTTGTCTGAGGCAATGCGGGATCCGTTATGCGACCCAGTGAAGAATGCGAGTGCGGACATACAGTTTGAGCGGGGTGACGAAAAGGTGCATGTCATTGCCAATCGACGTGGCGCTATTAGCGCTGCCGTTCAATTTTTCCTTGTTCTTCGCCACACCAGGCGCTGCAATGCGACCGGAGAAGGATGTAGTCCACGATGCGCCGCCAGGACTGACGGAACTCGTCGACAGAGTATGGGATGAACCGAATAACGGGGTCCCCGCGCGTCGGCGATGGGGGCGAATCTTTATGGCTATTCGTGATGTGGTTTTCTTTGTCATTGCAGAAGGACTTCATCTTGCTTTTCCGGGTCACGAAGTACAACGAGCTACGAGCGCTGAAGGCATTGCCCCCAGTCCCGGGTTGACCGACGCCTTTGCGCTGGACAGCCGTATCAGGTCGGCGATCAAATCGTCAGACTTGATAGAGACTTGGTTAGGGTAACGAAGCTCGTGGTGCCGTTCAACGTTGCTGTGTTGACATCCAGTCTGCCATGAAGTTCATGGGCGCATCTACTGACGTCGCCCCCATTGCGAGAGCTCGATTGGCTACCGGCCGTTCTGGTTATTTTGTGGCGGAAACAGCCATCGGACTCATTCGATGCGTTAGGGGCTTTGCCGAGGAGGTCGGCGCAGCCGACCCTTCCCCGGCAGCTCCTGACGACCCAGACGCATCGGGAGCTGCTGTCCAGCACTCTGAGGGCCTAGTGGCCCCGCGCACGGGTGCTGACGCCCCCGCCGGCTCTGCCGCGTCGGGCAGCGACCCTGACCGTGATCAGAGGTCGCGTAGAGCTCCTACCGAGTGGAGCGAACACGATCGGTCGCTTGCGTGGGCCGATGAGCCCGTAGATGATGTAGACGGCCTTGCGCGCGATGGCGGCTGGGGCGCTTCGCTGGGTCATGCCGACAAGGGCGACAACGGCAACGTCCGGGGATATTGGGTTCATGTGGATCGCCATCGGCAGATAACGGGAAGCGAAAGGACATGGTTTTGGTTCAACGTGGACGAGTGCAACGCAGAGTTCGTGGGAAGCCATGAAGATGAATCGTGGGGGGGCGAATGGCCCCCCCGTCGACGAGCTTGGGTCCGAACAGGAGAAACACTGAGCACTGCTTCTGCATCCTTGCCCGCTCCACCGCCGCCACCGACGCCGAAGGCGAGGCCGGTCGACGAGTGCAACGACAAGAGCAAGTGCAGCGGCTTGAGCGGTGGAGAAGGCAAAGACCATTACGACCACCGTCAGCGAGATCAGTCTCAGTGGAGCTGGCGGACCGGCTCTGATTGGAATCATCCTCAGCGCCGAGATGGAGATTGGCGGGGCTAATATTTTGCAGAAGGGCGGGTGCGACTTTGTCGGCATCGGACCCGCGTCGCTTGGCTTCGCCAACCTGATGCGGGTGCGATAGGGGTGGGGGATCTTTGTGGTATGAGCTGGCTTTAGATTTTAGCTCTGGTGGGCTTCGTCGGGTTGTTTCGGTATCTTGCCCC